CTAAAGCGTCGAACATCCAAATAAATTGAATCTCAATTCATAATCAACCATTTGATATCATGCACACAATATATGATTCAAACATTCATGATATTCTCAATATTTTATTCCAAGTCATTTGATATTCAATATCTCAACCATGCTCTTAAATTATTCTTAATCTAAGGCCAAATCATTTTATAACAAGCTCTTAGCTATTCCTAGTCTAAGGCAACATTTCTAACCAGGCCCTTAAACTATAAATAGTTTAATGCAAAACACAAGAATCGATAATCCACCCTATGAGTCATGTGGATTACGTACCAACGGAACAATGATTTGTCGGGTGGGTGATATCCGGTCTGGATCCCGTACGTACGTTTTAACCCCGAAATATGAATTGGTCAAGAAGGTATATCTTAGAGTTCTTCTAGATATCCTTAATAATGATCATCATTATACAAGTGGGTATATCTTAGAGTTCTTCTAGATATCCTTAACAATATACATCATTTTCATAATCATCATTATATCCATTTTTAATTATGATTTAATCAATAATCATACCAATCAGTAGGTTAATCATTCATAATTGGCCACAATAATAGTTCATCATAATGATCATTCAACATAACATTTAATAATAATTAGCGGCCTAGTCTCGACTGTTAACACCCGAACTTACCGTCATGCATCACATAATGTTTTAATTTGTTAAAAACATCATTTTTGTTGTGAAAAATCATTTTTATAATAATCATAATCAATTGGTATCAAAAATAGGATTTTAGAGCTCAAAAATAGCAATTTCAGACAAATTTTCGGACCAGAGTTTCGGAGGATCGATCCAGCCCTCTGGATCGGTCCAACTAGAAGAAAAACTCCTAGAGGATCGATCCAATGAAGGGGATCGATCCACTCTGTGGATTTTCAGCCACTGTTCATTCGTCTTCAACCTCGGTCCATTTTTTGGGAAAACCATTTTTAGTCACCGAACTTCAATTAAACTATATAGAGATGTTCTCCAAGGTTCATAGATCATATTAGAATTATTAAAACATATTTTTAACATCAAATTCAAGGTTTATGATTCTTGGTTCTTCAAACATGTCAAATTCAAAACTCAACCAAATGACCATTTATGAACGTAGAAACGACCTATATGAACATTCTAGTCATTAG